TTAGAGAGAGGAGAGAAAAGAATATAGAAAAATAGAACTTTTACGTGCAAGATTTTATTCTTTTCAACCTTTCAAAATCAAGTTAAAATGCTTTTGTACAAGTGGATTGTTTCTTTATACTTTTATATTTAATAATTTATGTATGACTTGTTAGTGGATTTTCGGGTTCTTTATTAAAAGATATGAAATCTTTCAAGAATTTAAGATGATATAAGATGAATGTGTCGCTTAATCACTGATATACTCCATAAAAGAAGAGTAATATAAAGTGTTTATTTTATTGTTATATTATTGAAATTAAAGTTATATTTTTATTTATATTATTTTCGATTTTAACATTAAAAAAATTACTTTTTGATAACACTCCAGTGTTTTTGAAATTTTGGGATGTTACACAAAGAAACTATAAACTCAAAATTTCATTAAGGATGTGTTTGATTGTATTTATTTTGCATGAAAAATGTCATTTTTTAATCCAAATTTCTACTTTGAAATGTTTGATTGCTATTTTTTTTTCTATTTAAAATGTTTTCCAACTTTTAAAAATATACCTTATTTTAAGAAAAATATTTTCTTTGGGGAAATAGGTTTTTGTTTTCCCCAAAACAAGAAAAATATTTTCTTTTTTAAGATATATTTTTCAATATTAATCAAACACACTCTAAGGAGTAAGGATATATGTGTAACTTTACTTTTAAAAAAAAAACTTTCAGAACCAATGGATAATAAACTCCCGAGCATAGGTTTGACTCTTTAAAAAATCGTTACTAAAAACATAACCGGTTATCTCGTAAATGTTCAAAATCGGTACTTTGAATACGCTCATAACCATGGAACTCCCAAGTAGGCCATAAAACTTGAATCAAAATCAGTAGAAAGTTCAGAAAAGATGGGATTCATTAAGAGCTGCTGCTTGTTCATGACTGTCACAGCCTTTCGAGTTTACGCAGCCCAGAATTACAACATCCTCAATGTCCAAAAGTTGCTTAAACACTGGCCTTTTGATCGCCAAGCACGTTGAAGAAAATTGCCGCAAGCCCATAAAGCGCGATGTTGATGAATAGCCAGAGAAGGAGATAGAGGGGTAGGGGCGATCGCCCCTCCAACGTTGTCCGTTGGTCCACTATTCGTAGTTAATTTGTAATGTATTTTTCAATTCGCTCCCGAAACATTTTGATTTTTTTTCCATTAATAAGTATTGACCCAATAACTTACACTTTAAAATTCAACCATACAAAAATCTTCGACCTAAGCAAAAG